GAGAAACACTGCCTTAAAAAGTCAGAGAAACACTGCCTTAAAAAGTCAGAGAAACACTGCGTTAAAAAGCCGGAGAAACACTGCCTTAAAAAGTCAGAGAAACACTGCCTTAAAAAGTCAGCGAAACACTGCCTTAAAAAGCCGGAGAAACACTGCCTTAAAAAGCCGGAGAAACACTGCCTTAAAAAGCCTGAAGCAAGGAAGGGTTGAATAGTGCTCTTACAATGAGTTACAATTACATAGATGCTCAAAGAAAGTCTTGGGATGCTTGCTTAATTAATTCAGTAAAATTATATCAAATTCATTGGTTTTAAAACAAAAAATGTTACTTTATTAATTTGTTTACAAAGAGATATATATTACATTAGGTTAGGTTCCTCCCAAGATCACTTAACGTTAATAAAAGTTACACTGTTTCCACTGTAGCTTCCTTGTAGTAAAGGAGCAGGTTATACATTTATGGTTTTTTATTATGTGCACCTCCTTGCAGCAAGAAAGAGCTTTTAGGTGATAAGCAGCCATGAGAGCAAAGCCACTGCATTGCTGCCCATGAGGTTACAGCAGATTAGCCAGCATCAAAGCCCCCCTCCCCCATGACCCAGAAGCATGCAGAAATGCTGACACCTTGGCTGGGTATGCAAACAGCTTCACGAAGCCAAAGTCGTCGCCGGTAGCAAGCAGCTTTTTATCTTTGGTGAGGGATGTGGCGTTGATGTCACAGTGAATGGACCAGATGCCCTCGCACGAGGGCCCCAGCACGGAGGTCCAGGTCGCCCATTCGATTTTCTCTATCTGAGGGAAATGTCATATGCAGCATACAATGCATTGATAAAGCATTATAAACATGGCTATGAATATATTCATAATAAGGCATATAAAAAGGCATTATAGTCATGCTTCTTATGCATTATGAATGCTTTATGAAGCTGCAACGCACTATAGGTACCTTCATTATGCAGTTTAAAGCATCCTTAATTCTAGTACCGACCATTGTAATGTATTATGAAGGTGTCTATAGTGCATTATACGTAGATGAGAGCTTTAAAGTGTAAAATGTTACTGAACATTCCTTAATGATAAGTTATCCAGGTTTCATTACTGACTCCATGTCATACCTCAGGAGATGGGAGTGTCTGTCTTTTCCCTCTGGGGCCTTCGAAGAATAGCAGTTCTTTGGCACCTGAATTAACTTGCAGCAATTTTCCTGAATTTATGGAAATACAACAACCCTAAACCAGTGATAACCATTAACCAAAGATTTCCGTCTCAAACCACAGAAAGGGCCTTGATTTGGTTAAAGAACCCAACCGTGTAACTGGATATCAACTGGAAGTGAGTTCATACTATGTATGTATTTCACATCTTCATCATTCTGGGGCCAGCTGCACATGCAAAATATGTCCCAAACAGACTTAACAATATTCAAGAAATTGTACAGTATTCTGTTTAAAAGCAGCTCTTCCGTGTTTGGTAACAGTAAAATAGTAGATATCTAAAAATAAAAAATGCAGTGAACAGTAGGGGTGTAACAAATCATTGATTTTAATTGATATATTGATTGTTAAGGCCATTATATGATTTAATAGATTCATGCCATTAAATTATGACGATAACCCGAAAGGCTGCTGGAAAAAAAAATCTCACGAAGCAATTCAGAGACTAACCGTAGTAGAGACCAATATATTACAGTATATTTTATGGAGTATAGTACAAGTATGTTCCTATTGTCAAGTCCTGTCTGTCACGTTTGCCTGACCCTCCTGTTAGCCGCGCCCGACGCCCCTTCGCTCTGCCTCGCCTTTCTTCCCGTGTTAATAACTTCCAGCTGTGTCTTGTTAACTCCCGGTTGGTTAAGTATTTACAGTAAGTGTCTTCCTGTGCCGTTTGCCCCCAGTCTGTCATTACAGTTGCTACCTGGTGTCATTCATGTCTTGCCCTCTTGGTTTTACCCCGCTTCGAATCCCTTGCGATTCTGTTTCCTTTGTGTTTGGTTCTGTTTCCTTTAATAAGACCCTGTTACCCTTTGGTCACCCTCGCTCTCGCTCCCTTCATTCTGCCGGTGCATGACGCCTTTATTTTCTGAGAGTAAGCTATACATTTTTGCTGTTAAAATATGAGTACAAGGCAATGTTTCTTGTCAGACATTTTTGTGTTTTTGAAACATTTTCGAACATTTCTATTTTCTACATTATCCATTCAGCATCACGATCATGGTTTCGATATATTACAAGGTTGGCATAAGAAATTAAATGGGACTTTTTTGGAAGTTATGTGAAAGCCAGTAGATGACACATAAAGTAAAGTGAGTCATAAATGCATAAAATATATGTACGGTGCTGGTTTAGAAGACGCCAAGTGTTTACGGTAGCCTCTCGTGACAGTCTCGCCGTGTCTGTTTACGGCAGCCTCTCGTGACAGTCTCGCCGTGTCTGTTTACGGCAGCCTCTCGTGA